TGGGGATTCGAACCCGCCACCTTAGGTGTATGTGGCTGGCGCCTTAGCCGGTTGAGCTATAGGCGCCGAGCCGGAAACTGAAAGGTTTGAGCATATTTAAGTGATTTGTTCCACCTCAGTTTACCAATCTTTCAAAGCCTCTAATTTGAAGTAAGATAACAGGGGGCCAGGATTCTTTCCTGGAACTCTGCAGATCCTTCCTCAAGATGTGTGGTGGCCTTGCTGCCCACATACGAAGCCAGTATTCAGCCTGCCTATCACCAAGCTCACAGGACCCTCTACCCAGTGTACATCCAACCTGCTCCCTCCATCCCTGGTAAGCCAATCTTACTCACTGCCTCCAGTCAAGCCTGTGTTCTCTCTAAGAACACTTTTCCTCCTGGAACGGCCGTCTCCAACTCTATTCTTTACTGTCCCACCTTCATTTCACATTCTTCATGAAGTAACTCTGACACGGGGGCTTCCCCCCTCCCCCATGGCTCTTCCAGTCCCTGAAATCTTCATGAAATGATGTCATAATTTAGCACTTGGATTGCTTCAGGCACATTCTTTTTCTTTTCCTCTCTAAGAGAAAAGAATTTTGAGGGCAGGAATCAAGACTGATAATTCTTTCATATTCCCCTTGGAATTCACTGTCACTTGACTCAATGCAGTTTGATGGCATTATGCCATTTCACGGAGGATGCTTTTGCACCTGTTCAAGGGCAAACTAAAAGAAAAGCAGGAGTAGCACCTTCTGTAAACAACTGTTCTTGGCAAGGCTGCTACCTAAATGATCAGTATTAACCCATTAACTTGAATCACAGTGTTTGCAAAGGGGTGACTGCAGATGGCACAAGAACGGAAGGCACTAACAGTGCAACCACACCCTGCTGTCTAGGGTCATAAAAGGCCCTTATTGCAACAAATCCATCTGCAAAACAGGTTATCAAGGAAGAGACCTTCAGATAATATCCAGAAGCTTGGCTCAGCGCCTATAGCTCAACCAGCTAAGGCGCCAGCCACATACACCTAGGGTGGTGGGTTCGAATCCCCAGCCTGGACCCCCCAAACAACAATGATGGCTGCAACCAAAAAAAAAAAA